TTCTTCATATCTCAAAAATCCAAATATCTAAATGCCACAAAATTTATATATAAAATTTAGATGCATGAAAATACACATTTTTGGAAATTTTAAGATAAAATCTTATCAAATTACTCAAGATATAGTTCAAAACACAACTATTAGCAAATTGGATTATTTACTACTCTTTAGATTCCAAGCATTGACTTCAACTTCTAATGTCTCCTTCATTCTAACCTAAAATTTATTAAACAATACATATAAAGTGTAGCCAAAAAAGTATTCTTTCTAATCTTTATTATCTATCCTCTATTGCTCTCTCTATGTATGTGTTATATCCAAATGAGTGACAATAGGTACAAAATCAATACTTTGACTTTGAGTGCTCATATGTCTTTCATATAAAATTTGAATCATACAAAATTTGTACCAAAACTATAGCCAAAATCCTCAACTTGCTGACTTCAGCCTCCAAAAGCTCAAATGACCTTGAAAGAATAGTCCTAATCTCTAACAAGGCCTCAAGCAACCTCCTAAAAGTCCATTGGATATGATTTTTAATCAATAGGAATGGAGATTTTTATCATCCATCTCTATTTATCCATATGAATGCCCTAACTTCTTTTTTTGCTACCAAAATCCCTCTCTAATCCTTTTTTTTATAAATTCTATATAATATCTGTTCTAAATATCAATTAAAAAAAAATAAAATAGACTTCAAAAATCACAAATTTCTAATAAAGGTGATTCTAAATATATAAAATTTATTCTAAATAAAACCAACTTCAAAAGTTACTATAAAAAGAAAATATAGTTATATAAATTCTAATAAAAGTCCTTTTAAATAACTTCTTTTTGGAGTAGTAACCTATCCACATCTTATAACTATTGAGCTTAAGTTATTGTAAAAATCTTCAAAATTTTGATCTTGTTCTATTAGACTTCTCAGGTATATTATCATAGATATACATATATATTTCAATAGTTAGATAAAAATAGATAAAAATAGATAAAAATAGATTAATTTTATAATATCTTCTATAAAAATTTTTTAAAAGCTTCATAGACATGATTTTGTCTTTACTCATATTTGAAGTTGATTAATAGCTTAAAAACCTAGTCAACAAGTTAATTATATATTACATATATTGATAGCTTGTAGAACAAGCTAACTATATAGCATTCATATAAAAATCTAGCTTTGTAAATTTAAATATGTATCTTATACAATCAACGCGTGTTGGAAATCCTATAAGATATTGTCACATAATTTTTATATAGATAGTATATATAGATGCAATAGTAAAGCCTTCTTTACTCTTGTCAATGCCTTTCTAATCTTTAGTCTTATTTTAAGACTATCTAATCTTATTGTCTTTAGTAATGGCCATTCTAATTTAATATACTATCATCTTTGAGTGACTCTTTAATCTTTTCAAATGATAAAAGAGTATATTGAATTTTTTTTCTTTGAGATTTATAACTTTAACACAATTCAACAAAAATAATCCAACAAACAAAATCTAACAAAGTGGCATGTACTAATATAGCATATTCACGACCATTCTAAGTTTAATAAGGAGCTCCAACAAAACCAAATATACCACTTCCAAGAAGCATGCACTAGAAATTCATCACTACAATGATAATACTACTTTTGAAATACCACAACCACTACTACTAAGATTGAAAAGTAAAAAATTCCAAAGAAAAAGTATAAGAAGATGAAGAAGTAATAGTGGCACAACTTAAACAAAAACCAAACAAAAAATATAATAATAAAATTTATTTTTATCTTTTATTTTTGATACTACATCTATGAATAATATTAATTGTCATTGTTGTCTATATTAAATTAGCAATTATATGCTATATATGACTATAATCCAAAAATAAAATTGAAATCAAATACAAAATTATATCTTCTATATAAAACAAAATAAATTAATATATAATAGAATGTGTCTAGATTCCACAACTCAATCTTTAACGACTCACCAATAAATTTATCTATCTATTCATCTATCTTTGTGATATTGTAATGTGATTTTTTATAATATGTAAAATTTAATTAAAATAGTTAATATATTTATAAATATTTATATACTTTATAGTAGTTAGTAGGTTAATTTTAAAAGAATTGATGTAAAAAAAATTATTTTGAGATTTATCTATATTGATTATAGTATTTAAAATATATAGGATATAGATATCTAATATAAAAATTAAAGAGAAGATTAAGGCTCAAAGATGAAGATCCAAACCTTTAAGAAGCTTATTTAGAGGAATGAAGGCAATGTATAGATGGATGAAGGCTTAAAGTAAAGATCTTTATCCCTATTGGTCGAAGGCCATACCCAATGGGCACTCAGCAAGCTGTCTGCGACCATAACAAGGATTTTGGCAACTTCAACAGCAGCATTTTGAGAATCAAAAGCAAGGATTGTAAGGTTTAAGATTAGAAATACAATTATTTTTCAAATTTTAGAGGATTTGGAGTTAAGATGATGAAGTTATAACCATTTGAAGTTAAGGTATCTTTTAAGATATATTATTGTTGTTTTGAAGATATAAGGAGTTTATGATAGTTTTTGGTGATCGGGAGGTACGGCCATAAAGTTGATTTCAAGATCTACATCTTTTGTGAAAGAATTTCTGCCTTTGAAGTTTGTATAAAGAAGTTATAGAGTGTTGAAGACAGCAAATATAATTCAAAGGCAGTAAATAAGCCATTTTATTGATAGTAATGGTTGGAGTCATATCTTGAGTTTTCAAAAGAATTTTTGGCTAAAAATTTCCAAAAGTGTATGATATTAAGTTAAAAAATTATATATTAAGATTTTATGGTATTTAACTACTTATTTTGTGAGATATGAAGAAATTTGCACATGGATATATGTAAGCAAGAGTTTGAAGCTACTATTAGAGATTTGGCGATATCTCAAGATTCATAATGAATTTATAATTGAAATTTGTTGTGGTAGTTGTCAAATATACATCAATACATCATGTAAAATTTGGATTTGTTTGGATGGTCCAATTGTGAGATATAACCAGTTGAAGTTTGGAGAAAAATTACCTTAAGGATATATAAATTTTTATAATATTTTTATTATATTTTTGGTGATCTTTGGTACTTAAGGCTTATATATTGATGTAATTGCCTCCATAGGGATAATTTTATATATAAATTTGGTGTTTTTTTTTATTTAGAGGCTTAATTGAGCATTTAATGACAGCTAGAAGCCCAGCGCTTTTTTAAAGCAAATTTTTTCTACCCCAATAGCAATAGATACAAAATCAAGAAGATAACCAATAAGAGTGAGGGCAACAATGAAGAAGATAGCAATGCAAAGAAAAAATGATAGTAAGAAGAGATAGAATGCATGGACAAAGAAAGCAAAGTGATTCTTCTTATAAAGGAAGGGGAGGCCAACTCCACCCTCATCTCAACAGAGAACAAGGCAATGAGATATATTTGTGGAAGATTCTTTTCTTTTTAAAACAAATAATAAAGGTTCTATAATTAAAGATTACACCGGCTATCACTATTGACAGTGGTATTGAAGATTAGATTATCATGATTGTACATGAATATACTTTCTTTTGATTAATTATAGATTTAGTGGTAATAAAATGAATCTAGAGGTAATTATTTTTTTCATAATTGTAATAATGGATGGATCATTTTATCATTTTTTTATTTTTATTTTTTATTTTTTTATAAAGACATAATCAATAGTGGATCTTTTTATATTTTAAGCCCATTTTGAAAGAATGTGGTCTATAAGATTTGTAAAAGTCTCATACTTGGAAAAAAAATTATTATTATTATTATTATTATTATTATTACAAATGATACATGATATGAATCAAATCATTTCTTTAATTATAATTCTAAATAAAATATTTTATATCTTGATTTTTAAAATTAAAAATTAAAATATGAGTAATTTTATAGATTTTTTCTATTACTTTTAAAATATTTGTAAAAAACTATTTCTTGAGGTGAATCTCAAACAAATTCTAAAGAACAATATCATTCACACTATATAAGGGAAAAAATGTGTTTCACCTCATTTTTTTTCTCGTAAATTTTAAACTAATTTTTTTTAATTGTAAAACCAATTAAGAGAGACTTTTTATTTTAATTAACTATAAGTTTTGAAAGTAGGCACCTCTTTTTTTTTCTTCTAAAAATAAAGACTTTCTAACTATTTTAAATTATATAATAAAAGTTATTGAACTAAAAACGAATTTGATATATATATATATATATGAGTAATTATATATATATTGGTTATCTTCTTGAAAAGAGATGTAAATTTATTTATGTAACAATAGAATGAATTGTTACATTTAGAGAATAGTTTATTAACTTCAAACATTTTATCCAATCTTATATATATATAGACACAAGACAATTTGATTGTACCAATTTGGATATTAAGTAGTGTTAGTTTTTTTTATTGAGAGCATCATTGTGAAAATTTGGATATTCAATATATCAACATGTGTAGTTTTCAGCATTATTAAACTACAAAAATATATGTTTTAAGATCAAATCATATTTTATATTATATTTTTTATTTGAACATTTTAAATTATTTTTTTACATAAATATAAAAAATATATATAATAATTTTTTATTAAATGGTTTAAAATAACACATCTTCAATTCACAACCAAATTTTAGAATAGATGTTTTAAGCAAATAAGCTAAGATGAGTGCCACAATATTTTGAATTAAAAAACAAGAAAAACTCCATGCACTGAAATTAACACTCTTATAACCAAAATCATTATAAATTATACATAAAGTACAATAATCAGTTATTACTTCAAAATTAAACGCTTAGGACGATCACCTTTTAAAAAGGGAACCTCAAATGAAATGCGATCCTAGATATTGAAGCATCTTGACAGAAATCATCCGTCGTATGCAATACGGTTGGGGATGCGGTGGATGAGGGTCAAGTGGCAATAAACGATGGCAAGTATCGGCAAGGGATGCCGGGACCGGCAATGGACGTCGGAACAGGCAGAGACCGAGATGGGTGCGGGGGAATTGCGCTCCGTCCCTCCCTCCCTCCCTCCCTTGCTCTGTGAAGATCGTGGCTGATGGCACCGATGATACAAGGCAGTCAGGTGCGCGGATCAGTACTGTGACGGAAAAGCATGGATATGGTGACAACGAAGAAGAAGAGGCAGAGGAGGAGGAGGAGTAGGAGGAGACGAGGCCAGGAACTTTCATAGTTGTGCATTTGCTGTTGTGCATTGTGCTCCATGATTTCTACGTCAATCCATGGAATTATCGCCCTTAATGCGTTGTTCATCGAAGGGTCCTCAGATGTCACTCTGTAGCAACAGCAGAAGCAGCGTCATCTAATTTTCTCCGCTGCGAACGAACCTTGATTCTAGGCCTCGTTTTTGTGTGTTTCTTTTATAGTTTATTGATTTTGGAATTGGATGTGGAGGTGATGAGTTGGCGGTGTGGTATAGACCCTGGACGGTGGGCTGGAAAGGTTTTGCACCGTTGTGAAACATCCGCAAGTGATGAGGAGGAGTACGGGAATAGGAATCATGAGCTTGTGGTGATCGGGAACGGATTCTGATCGAGACCAGGGGAGTGTTGCGGCGTGGTGATCAGGGTGGCATTGCCATGAACGATCTTCTCGCGGTATGTTATGGAAGGATTTTTGTTTGATGACCAGGGAAGGTTGAATCGCATGTGAGGAGCTTGTGTTGTGAACTTTGAATGTTCTTGGGAGAGGGGGTGGCGTTTCAGTGGCGGAGGGCATGCCAGCCATCGTTATGAAGAAGTAATGAGGGTTTTTGATGATGTTGCTATGCGATATCATCACATTATATTGACGTTTTTAGGCATTTGTAAACCTTTTGGGGATTGCACAGCAATTTCATGGAGTGAATTCAGAGCCCTGTGGTGTACAGTAACCAAAGTTTTTTATGGAACTGCAATGAATTAGGATATTTTATTGCGAGGGGTGCGATTGGAGGATCTTGAAGTCTTGTGAGAATTCGTGGAACTTCCCATTTGCACGTGGATGTGTGTTGTCCTCACTTAGGTCACGGTCTTTTCTGTGCTGAAGGCATTACAAATTTCATGTACGTAATAGGTGAAGGAGGAAAGGAAGGATGTTACTTGTTTTTTTCTGGAGGTTATTGCGCGGCTAGATTCGAATCTGGATTAGTGATTTTCCACCTAGGGCTCGTTGGTCAGAAATTTTTAACGGTTCAGAGAGAGGTGAAATGACTTTGTACAGAGACTATAGTTGTTGTCGTGCCAATGAGTTGCAGTCAATTACCCTTCTTCCTGTCAAGCTGTAAACTCTGTATACTGCATACTCTTGAAGATGTTGCGTATCACAGATGAATTTGTGCGAATGTGCAGGATAAAGATTCATCCGCTAATGAGAAAGAGGAGGATCTTGAGGCGGGACCTTCACCTGTCCCAGAGGCTGGCCAAGACTTGTCATTATTCTTCCAGGAGGTTTTATTCTGGCCAATTTCTTACTCTCTTCGCCTATTCTTAATTTTTTGGTCTGTATCTTCAAACCTAATTTGACTCTTTCAAGTCATGACACTTTTAATAATTGGGGATTCGGAATCGGAATTAGGTCAACGACATCAAAAGCTCGATGGCCGAGATCCGGAAGAGGTTTCAGAAGTTGCAGGTCTATTGGATATTGTACCTTCTCCATACAACTTATGCCATGTTTGAGTGTATAGTGCTTTGGTTCTCGAAAATGTTCCTAAACCTAATTTTTATTTCCATCTTACAGAATACGAATGAAGAATCCAAGTCTGTGACAAAAGCTGCAAATATGACAGGTTAAAGAGTTTCATTAGGCCCCTTCATACTGTATGTGCTGAATCCATCTGCTTCTGCTCTATGTAATTTCCCGCATTGTTGTGGCTTACTGGGATGCACGACAAATGAAATCAACGCAATGGTAATAGTTTTTTTTGTCAGTCTACAGTTGAAGTTGTTCCCAAAATGGTCTTGGACATAATTAGGAAGGACCTTTGTTCTATTGTGTAGCTCTTAAGGAAAAAATGGAGCATGACCTTGATGAGATCAGCAAGGTTGCTCAAGGTTTAAAGGGTAAAATAGAGGCGATGGACAAAGCGGTACTAAAATAATTGCGTCCATTGCGTACTTATTAGCAATCGTCTATTATTTGATTTGTGTGTTATGTTCTCACATCAAGGGGTTTTTGCGCCCCCTGTTTGCGCACATTTTGTGGGGAGTGGATGGTTAATACTGTTAGTCATTAAAATTTGCATAAAATCACTCAATAAGAGGACTCGAAAAGGTTTTGGGTTGGAATATAGGAAGAGTACTGAGATACTCCTTCTGCAATACGCCTTCTTCTCAATGAGTTGGTAGTCTCTATACAAACGAATGTTATTATACCTAAACTTGTTTGGCTGACCTGTCATTGATGCAGCTTTCTTATCTACTGACTGTTGCGCAGAATCTTGTAAATCGTAAAATTAAGGGCTGTCATGAAGGTTCAAGTACTGATCGGACACGGATGGCTATAACCTCGTAAGCAATCTTGTGGCATCGTAACATGTGTAGTATATGATGTTTTTTTGTAGCAAGATATTCACCTCGTGCAAGAGTCCTAAAGCTAATAAGTAGTTCTTTATAGAATCTAATAGGACTGAGTGTAATTAAACCAACGAACCTTTATTTATTTTTAAATCTTTGAATCTACAAGGATCTTATTTTATGTTTTGGTTATATTGCACTTTTATTTAGATCGATAAGCTTAATTCTTTCAATTCTCTTGATTGGTTGAAGTATTGTTGACATTCTTCCCTGCAATTCAGTACCTTGAAGAAGAAGCTGAAGGAGCTCATGGTCGATTTTCAGGTGCGTTGTAAAGAAACTCATCACACGAGCGGTTTTTCAAGTGACAGGCTACTGTTAATGGTACCCGCGTCATGGTTGCACTTGATCGTTTCTGTTATGAAGTCTATGACATTGAATGGCTTGCTGTGGGTTGGACCACCTTCATCGAAGATTGTTGAACTGTAGGCAATAAGGCGGAAGTTTCAGGTCGAGTATCGAGAGGTGGTTGAAAGACGTGTTTTCACTGGTGAGAAATGGTCCAAACGTAAACTTTCGTCATTGTTACTCTTGCCCTTACGCTTAGCTTACACATGCTATGCTAAATGTAAGGTGATGTTGTATGCGGAATGACTAAGGAAGTACCATGTGCAATATTATGCCTCACTTTTGTTCCGTATTGTGAGCAGTTACGGGACAAAAGGTTGATGAATCAGTAAGTCTGTCAAATCACTTGTGAAGTGCAATTTTCAATTCTACTTTATAATAATTTGACAGATTCTAGTCAGGTCGGAACGCTGGTTCTATTTCCTTTGATCGATTTTTGAAAAAACATTTAAAACCAACAATTTCCATGTGTATGAACAGCCTCTTCTATTCACCAGTAGTCAAAGTTGTGGCTCTTTCTATTTATCTTTGTTGCTGTGCTTTACAGGTGATTGAACGCCTAATTGACTCAGGAGATGGTGATCAGATTTTTCAGAAGGCCATCCAAGAGCAGGGACGAGGTCAAGTATGTTATGTTTTTTTTAAACTACTCCTCGAGTTCAATCCGATCATCGGAAATTCATTTTACAATAATTAGAATGCAGTACTAGTAAAGACTCCTTCAGCTTTTCTGAGAATTTCTTAGACCATGTATGCAAAGAGACGATGTAGATTAGACACCCTAGGGACTCAACATTCTGTTTAATATGTGCTCAATTGCTTATACCCCGACGATGTCTTCAGTACCAACTCAAGTTCGGAAACTTTTTGTGTCACTTTATGGGCTTGAAAGTCGTTTTGTGCAGATACTAGACACAGTAGCGGAGATCCAAGAGCGGCATGATGCAGTTAGGGATATAGAAAAGAAACTTTTGGAACTTCATCAGGTCTTTCACTTGATATTTCAATTGTCGTACTTATCGTGGTGCCAATCTCATTCTTGTATTGATGTATTTATACCATTTTGAATTCTCGTTAGACCGTCCATGTGTTTCCTGATCTGAAATCTTAGAACGCAATATCAATTTGCCCTTATTCAAGCACAGCTCGCAATCTTCTTGTTCCTGTCTGTAGTTTGTATGGTTTTTCAACGAAAGTGGCTAAAGAAAGTTTTCCTGCAAATGCTCTTTCTCAACAAAATGTTATTCTATATACTTTTCTTTTTGGACTAAAAACTGTCACCTTAGTATGGTTCATGGGGATGCTTAAATTTCTTCTAAAGTAAGAAAATCACATTAATCTGTATCGTTGGCAGATTTTTCTTGACATGGCAGTGCTTGTTGAAGCACAAGGCGACCTTCTTGACAATATTGAAACGCAGGTTTGCTTCTTCTCTTTACTTTTGTTCATGTAATAGACATCTTTTGATGATTGCCGATGCAAGATCAGGAACATGTGACTAAATATCCACTGCTTGCATTTCTGATGAGTCACTTGTTTTATTAGACATGTGTCTGTACCTAGTCCCTTAACTGCGCATGTTTTCTGAAATTACTCTTTTTTTGTGTTTCATTGTTCTTCCAATTCTTCTGTTTCATGTGGCCTGGAGTTGTAGGTTGGCAAAGCAGTCGACCATATCGCTTCGGGGACTACAGCTCTGCAGAAAGCGAAGTCCTTGCAAAGAGGAACTCGCAAGTGCATGTGTATTGGCATTGTTGTGCTGCTTGTCACAATTGTTATTATCATCGTTTCTGTAATCCAACCTTGGAAAAATGCTGTATAGTGAAAATTTTAAAAACAAAAGTAATTTTTTTTAAAATTAAAAATTAAAAATTAAAAAGAGAAAAAAAAATACATCTACAGTAGGATTCACACGTTTCAGATGAGCTTCCAGCTGCGTTCGTATGTCAAAACAGTTGCAGGGAGAAAGGGAACGCCACTTTAATGAAGATCTCAACATCGTCACCTCGTCTAGGACCATTCTTACACATCTCGTAAGTTGCACTGAAGTACAGTTCACACATCGCCAATTACAGATGCTGTTGAGACATCTGTCTGATGCCATAAAGAAAACTAGGTCCACAGTGTCGTAGTGAAATAGTCTGCCGAGAAACTGTCGGAACCACAGTTTCCGGAAGAATTATCACATCTGGGCGAAATAATGAGTCAACAAAACATGATTTTCATCTAAACTAACTTCAGTCTGAAAATTGGCATGGATTATAATCGAGAATCACCATGCACACTACCACGGCTAAATGAACTTGAGTGGGCTATATCATTAAACCTACACCTGCAAAACCGCTGCATCTAAATCATGAACACTAATGGTTGTTGTACAGTAGCCCTCACTGGCCTGTAGAGATGGCCCATCAAAGCCTTAAACTATAACTTCTAATCAATTGGCTGATGCCCCAGCTGGTAACGTCTTTGTAACACGTGTTGTGCCGTTTGTCGACCCAGACAACATTGCCATGCGTGAGTATGGTACAAGCTCAAAAGGATCCTCTTCAAACACTCCACCAGTTTCTTCTGTTATCCGAGCCAGGTCCTTCGTTGTAACACAATCATACTGAAGTAAATGTTCTACGACAGCACTAAGCGTTCGTTGATTTCTGTGAAGAATGTTGTAACACCTCTCAGTGGCGATGAGGTATAACTTCTGTATCGCAGATTTAACCTCTTCCTCATGCTTGTCACCCATGGCAATTGAGGTACGGGAATCAACCTTGGCGTAGACAAGCGGGCTATCCTCAGGACCCCATCCAAATTGCATCACCATCTCAGCTGCAATTCCCTCAGCATTCTCCAACTCTCCTTTAGATAAATTGTTATTTTCACCGAAGGGAAGAAGCAAACGTCCGGCGACATATGAGCCGAAACACAACACCAAGCTTTTCTCGTAGTAAGACCGCGTCATAGTACCTGTTTCTTGATACCCTGCTTCCAACTGTTTGGTTAACTTGGTGAAAGCTATTCCTTCCCAAGAAGTAGGGTCAAGCCATGCCTGATCCAGACGATCGAAACTAGGAAGAAGGAATGCAGTCAAAGCTCGGCCAGCAGCCCAGACTGCATGGGGGAACTTATACTCTCGTGACCAAATGACAGGAGGATTCTCTAATTCGATTCCGGGTCGCGTCTCATTAAATACATCCATCGTTTCGACTGCAGTCTCAAGATCTTCCTTAGACAATCGAAGACCCAGCCAATCGATAAGATCTTCATTCCACTTCATCACCAGCTTTGACTTCTTGAACCACATAGGCATAATTTGATTAAAGGTGGCAAGCCACCCAGCAACGCTGTTAATTTCATCATCATCGACAGTCTTCAACCCCACTGCGTTTGCCTCCAAAGCTCGAGGTACACACTTCAGCTGGGCAGGTGTAAGACCCGCTGTTTTATCTGCTACCTCGGCCCAATCTACAAAACCTACGTGTTTTGGGTCCATAGTGTCAGTAGCTACTTTCCGCAGAATCTGCTCTCGTTCGGTTACATTAGGCGTTGGAAGCTGAATGGTTCGATCCATACGACCTGGTCTTCGCAGAGCTTCATCAATAGCATAGGGCCTACTAGTGGTTGCTATAAGTACAACCCCCTCCTGGGTTTCGAAGCCATCAAGTTCAACGAGGAGTTGGTTGATCAGAGACTCATGATCTTGTTTTCTAGTGTCGGATGTTGCTCCTCGGACCCCTGCAAAATGATCAAAATCATCCATGAAAATAATCAACGGGGATACCTCCCGTGCAGTTTTGAACAGTTCACGAACGTTGGATGCTCCTTGCCCCACCCAGGCTCCCCCTTCTAGCTCAGCACCTTGAAGCTCCACCATAGGCACCTTCGCTTCAGCTGCAATCGCAAAAGCTAATGTAGTTTTTCCTGTTCCTGGTCCACCAACGATAAGTACTCCTCTAGGAGGTCTAGCTCCCATTTCCTGAAAAATCCTAGGGTTCCGTAAAAAGCTGATGACTTCATTGATTTCTTCTTTAACAGCATCAATACCTGCAAAGTCCTTTAGTCTAACCTGAGGATGCTTTACTCTCTTCATGTTATCGAATACGCTCTTGATAGGATCTATCTCATCCTTCTTAGATTCCCGGTTGATCTCCTTCTCAAGTTCTTCTTGTTTCTTTTCCTTCCACTGAGCTTCATTCATGGATAGCTTACGGGGAGTGAACGGCGCCAGTAGGAGTCCGCCAACAATAGTCACAAAGAAATAAAGAGGAATACCTACGACGTAAGTACGAAGAGGGAGTGAGATCCACCATGCTGGAGAGCCGGTACCTTCAGCGTAACGCGCATCGGTTTTCTTTTGAGCTTCCTGTTGCCACATCATAATATCAGTAGGCTCAGCTGCTTCAGCCCCTTCAGGCAAGTCGAACCCCAGAGCAACTTGTGCCCGTTGTGGCAGAACTGTTTGGATTACTGGAAAGCCAAATCGAACCATTAACTCCTCAAACGTTTCACTCAGTGTCTTGAAGTAATAGGGTCTAATAGAGGTCAAAAGAGGTGAGTTCCATATGTCCTCGAGCACCCACCACGTAACCTTGAAAGGCAACTGAAAGAGATCCCACACTGGCCATTCTTTCAGCGGTATCCACATGAACTCAGTACTTACTGGAATTCCGTCAAGAGTCAGCTTTATATACAAGGAATCAAACCCCCCTGCTTCTTGAAGCTGAGCATCAATAGCTGGAATATCTACAAAATACTCATGATCGTCGCCTTTTAACGTCACATGCATGACCCCCCGGTCATGACGTACACGAGCTTTGGCAACTAGTTTCCTCGTGACGGCATGAGAAACCGCCATCGGAGAAATTTCCCAACGTTGTTCCCTTTTATTAAACCAGGTCTCTGCTACTACTCTGTCTCTTGCAATTAGGATCTGTGCCTGCGTCTGCTTGACATACTCTCGACCTTCCTCCGGATTATCTAGCAAATGTTGCTTGATGCTTTCCTTGCTCTCATCCCGCCAGGCCCTCCAACCCATGGCCCACTCCAACTGGGTTGCTAATGCTCGACTGTCGTCACCGAATTCAGAAAGATCTTCATCGAACTCCGAAGAGGAAACATCCATACTTGAGACATCGACAGGGACTCTCACATGGCTAATGTCCTCATCTTCACCTTTGCCCAACCGCTGTCTGACTAGACTTTCGTACTTCGCATTCAACTCGACTGTTTTTTCCAGTTCCTTCTTAATTTTACCAATAAACTCTTGTGACTCGGCATCAACTTCAAATTTCGACATCTGATTTTCTCGGTCCACACCAAGGGCAAGGGGTAATAATACCTGCTTACCATGTGCCTCACCTGCCAGCTCCAAGTCTTTAGCAACTCTCGAAATCTCGGCATCACCTACACCTACACTAACGCCGGACTGCCTTTGAAGCCATCGCTCGTATATGCTCGCCAATTCGGTTATAGCGTGACCTTCAATTCTAGGAATATCATCCAAAAGCGCTTTCTCAACCCACATTTGCTTCTCCAGCATCTCCTTCTCCAAATCTGACACCTTCTGCCAGAGCTCACCGCAACGTGCCTCTGAATTTTTAACTGATGATTCTAGAGCCTCTCTACGCTCCCAGCTCTCGTCGTCGAATTCATCATCCAACTTCTGTAATTGTGCTTTCGCGGACAAATACTCTTTTTCCATGTTCTCAGCCCCCTCAGCGATGATACCTCGCTCTTTCTTGAGCTGGTCGATGGTGGAATCCAGCTCTAAAATCTTCTCCCATTGCAGCTGACGGCCACTAGTGTATGTCCCACGCACTGCCTCTTCAAGCTTTCGAAGGAAGATCCCCCGCTTGGCAGGTTCAAGTTCAGCCTGTTCTCCCAAGGCTTCAAGCTCCTCAAGCTTCGGGTCAATTTTAAGAGCAGCTCGTAATTGCCGCTCTCTCTCAAGCTTCTCCAACTCTTCCTGCCTTTGAAACTGCTTAACTTCAGCTTCACTATACTCATCATCACTTTCCTCTTGTTCCTCTTCGTCCAGTTCAACGCCAGGCACCTCTACATCATTACGGGTAGCAACAGTGGGAGCTGCAATGGCAACCCCCGAGAGAACTTTTGGCCCAAACCCTACTGCTGTGATTACCATCCCCAACGCCAATGCCTTTCCCATATTTCCAGCAATCTGCGAAATGATTTCTATGAATAATCTGCGTTTATAATGGTCCGTATAGTCTTCACTATTATGAAGAAGTCTCGCCTGCCCATCTTCCAAACTACCGTTGTCATTACAACACACAAGCTCACGTGAACCATATGCTATAGGCTCGCATTCTCTGGATATGTACCGATGATTGGAGCATCCAAGAACGGAAGAACTCGAAGAAGAAGAAGAAAAAGACGACGATGAGGTCTCTCCAGAAGTCCGAGCATCCAAACCCCGAACCAAATTTTTGTCAATATCGTTCGAGGAGCAAACAACTCTTACTGGATTTCCCACCCTAAAAGGAGCTGTTAATCCACGCACGCCGACTCCAAAAGCCTTATTTTGCCACAAAGGCAATCCTTCTAATACCCAATCCCCCCGCTGCGACCTTAACCTACGCCTACCGCTCTCACTCCACGACGAATGCCTGCGAGCATTCCGTACACCTTCAGGGCTGGTGCAAACTACGCTCCTAAGCTCGCATTTCAATTTCACACCCAGCTCATCGACAAGTGAGCTCGTCCTCCACTTCGACCTCCTCGAACTCCTCAAACTCCCACAGAAGCTCCATAGCGACGCGGCAGTGATAGAGGGGTGAAGCGTACTCATCCCTGCAGACTCACTCCAACCCCTCCCACACTGCCTCCGCTCCTCAAAAACTCCCCCGACTTACAAGTATCAACAATTCGCCACCGCAAACATCTTCAACCAGCTCAATCAATCCCACAAACACAATCTCACCACCATGTCCTGCGAACTCTGAGCCTGACAAGCTCGATTGAGCAATCCACTGAGCAGAGAATTGGGCATCACCCCCCAGCGTGAGACATCGAATGCGTCGAGAAGACGATCAGGATGCGTGAAACATGACGCCCTATCAAGAAGGAGCATCAAGCGGGAGAGACTGCCAGCAGCGGAAGATTAGTGGATATGGGGGTAATTTCGAGAGCTGGATGGGAGCTATGGTTCGTTTTGCGAGAATGCGAAATCGCTAAAACCCTAACACCCTCCCAGTCCCCGTGTGAAAAGGGTATAAAAACGGGACCTCAGTTCGCCAATCATTGGCCCTGGATGAGGATAGGGAGACTCTGCTTCACACCTCGGTTACGATCTGAAGAACCGGTTCAGTACCTCGGCCAGGACCTGGAGCTTCCTTTTAAGCATTGACGGCTCAGTTGATGTTGGTATGCTGCATCCGATTTTGACCTTTCCAATCCTCAGCTTGTGATTGACCAAAATCATTGACAATTCAGAGTTTGATGATGAAAATAATAACCATACTTGAAATATCAACTCTCCTTGTTGAGAATGTTTAGAAAAACACAAGAGTAATAGTAAGTCATACACACACACAAGAGTAGTAGTAAGTCATATACACAAGAGTAGTAGTAAGTCATATACACAAGAGGGTTTCTAAGGAAAAAGAGCTTCACACATAAAAATCTATTCATTTGGTTGTGTCTCATATACAAGAAGAAAAAAGATGAGAGGATAAATAGTACTTCTCTACTAGACTCTAAATATTGTAGCTATGGTATTTATTATAGTCTACAATAAATATTATGGAGAGTGCTGGCTACATTTAATGATCTCAATACTCCTCCTCGCTCATCATAATATTTACATAATATAAAATTTATATAGAATTATGATTTATACTTTTCTGTGATCTTGCAAGATCAACAATTGTTGCCTCATTAAAACCTTATCTACGAAAACCTTATTTTATTTAAGGACAAAATCATAAATGAAGGAAAAAGAGTACAACATCATTTTCTTTAATAATTTAAAGAGCTCATTAACTTTCTTATTCAAGAAGAGCAAGTCGCCGCATACCAATGCCATAAGTAAGTCGACGATGGTTGCTTAATGGGAGAGCTTTGATGAAGAGATCAGCAAGGTTATTTGTAGATTCAATTTTCTTAATTATAAGTGCTTGATCAATAATCAAGTCATGGATATAACTAAAATACTTTGGATCAATATACTTTATCCTATCACTTTTAATGAAACCAACTTGCATTTGTGCAATACAAGTACTATTATCTTCATGCAAGATAGTTGGAGAATCATCATATGAAAATCCACGAGTTGTTTGAATGAATTTATCAATTGATCGCAACCAAATACATTCTCAAGATGCTTCATGTAAGGCAATAATTTCTGCATGGTTGGATGAAGTTGTAGTTATTGTTTGTTTCACTAATTTCCATGATATTGCAGCTCCATGTCTTAAGAATACATATCATATATGAGATTTAGTAGTTGCAATATCAGATTTATATCCTGCATCACAATATCCAACCAATTTTGGATCTGCGGATTGTGTGTAGTATAATCCCAAGTCTTCAGTACCTTTTAAATAACATAATAAATGTTTGATGCCATTCCAATGTCGTAGTGTTGGACGTTGTCGTATTGCAACACAACTATATGGTGAAAATATAAATCGAAAAGATTTATTAATATTTAATCATCTTAGATGTTAGAAACAATGGCCAATTCCAATGCCAATATTCAGGGGCCAGTTAATATCACCCCATTACAAGCTATACCACCGAACATAACAACAGCGTATGCTACACCGGCATCATTGAACCAAATACCCTCCATACTAACGGGACGACGAAGAATATTTTCTAACCCTACATGGAACAAGCCTAGTAGGTATATATCGATGGAGACATCCAATATGCTTGATGGGACTGCAAGAAGACCACTTTGTTGTTTCCATTGTAGACAAATTAGTCATTATGCTAGTGAATGTCCCAATCCTAAAGCTAGTGACAATTACGCGCCAGTGTGTGGGAATAGCAAGCAGTCAGGGCATACTTGTCAGTAATGTAATGCTCCATTCAATTTCAATAATCGGAATCAGCAGATCCAAAGCCAGGGAAAAATTGAAGGGATAAATTGAGGTCTTTAAGATTCTCTAGTAAATCAGGTGGAATAAGTCCGAGCTGTTCTTACCACGAGTCGACAAAAGGAGAAAGGACCATTTCAATATTTAGGTGAGTCTGATGTGAAGGGCCAATTTGGCCCAATTACGCGGACATCCAATCCAGATCTTGGTATGGGCCTCTTATCCAGTATAAAACCTGACTCGATTCAGCAACCCAATGAGGTCCCGAATACAGAGGCTTCAGTTCCATTTCAAGCTGTTCCATTCTCTATGCCGTTTTGAAGAAACGTTTTTTCTATGAAAAGATCCTCTTAGAGGCGGGAATTCCATAGAGACAAGTCTGTTGTTCCAATTTGGAGTCTAGGGCGGAAGAATAGGGGACCTCACGAAGTTAAAGGAGAGGAGAGGAAAAGGAAGGGGGCATTTTAGAGATCAAGATTTTGGAGTCGGAGAGCTAACTTCAAGCTCCTTCAAAAGGTGTAGAATTGGATTTCATAGGATTTAGGAAGACTTTGTAATCGTTGCTCAAAGTCAATGTTTGTATTGGTGAATTGGATTCATAGGGTTTGAGAGGACTTGCAGTCATTACTGAAAGTCAGTGTTTGTATTCGTGAATTGGATTTTTGTAATAAAGTAATGACTAGTACTCTTGACTGTTTTGTGAAATTAGAGAGACATTTGTGGTTGAAATTTTAGAGGTGTTTAGATGGTTGAGTATGCCAAGTGCATGCAAAAATTTGTGTTAATCTAACAATATGGATAGAGGATATTTGATCATTAGTGTAAAGAGGTATCAAAAGTTGGTATATTAAGATTGTTTAGGATTTTGTAATATCTAGAGATCTATCAGCTAGAATAAGGTGAATTTTGACATGATAAGTCGAGGAATTAAAGGCGGAGCTGCACACAAAGTTGAATGAGAATTAATGATTAGAGAGGAAAAATTATAAGTTACAGTTCGTCAACAACTTCTAAGTGGGGGTCAAGGATCATCAAGGTGGATTTATGGCATTTTCTTGTAATTTTTTGTATTTAGATGGTTGAAATCCACTAGACTACTCAGATACTCACAAAACATCGTTTTATCTTCCACAGCCAGACGCCCGGTGCGTTCTCAAGTAAGACAACATATAATACGATAACGTGCATTATGTCTTGCAAGAATACTAATTGCAAATGCAATATTTGGTCTTGTAGATGTAGCTAAATATAAAAGTGCTCCAACCGTTGCGAGGTATGGATATTAGTCTCCCAATATTTCCTCCTTCTCCTCATATCGACGATATGGATCATGACCATCACAACCACGTCCAACCATTGCTGTGGACAATGGATAAGCATCAATCATATTAAATCTTTCCAAGATTCGTCTAATATACGTGAGTTGGTAGAAAAAAATGCTACCATCTGTTAGATGCATAATCTGAAGACCAATGCAAAAAGTTGTTTTTTCTAGCATTTTCATCTCAAATTCATGTATATGTAGGTTTGTAAATATTTGAAGAGTCAAAATCTATTCATCTGGTTGTGTCTCGTATACAAGAAGAGAAAAGAGGAGAAGATAAACAATACTTCTCTACTAGACTCCAAATACTGTAGCTACAGTATTTACTATAGTCTACAGTAAATATTATGGAGAGTGTCGACTACATTTAATGATCTCAAGACTCCTATCCTCTTTCTTCTTCTTTTTAGTGATGGGTTTTTTTTTGTTTTAATTCTTATTTTAATATTGAAACTTGCCCCTTGGTTATTGTTATATTGAATGAGGTTGAGATTTTATCATAAAGAATGAAAATTATCAATCAATTTGGTCTAATTAAAATTTATATATTTTATTTATTTAGTTATTATATATTTTCAGTATATATATATATATATATATATATATATATAAAATAGTTTTTGAGGTCTTGTTTGTCTTACGGTTTGTATGAATTTGGGAGTGGTATTTTAAATAAAGTCATCCAGGTGTAGTAAAGAGCAATACAATATAGATAAACACAAAGATATATGGATATCTTGACTTACTAAGGCATCCTTTCATTGAGAGTAAGCCATTTTGATTTCAGTACATGTATACACATAGACACCTCTTACTTTAGCATTGCATGCTCTTTCTTTGCTTTGAAAATTATATGTTGAAATGAGATTTTGGTGTGTATAATACAATATTGAATGACAATTCAAATAATGTGACCAATGATTATTCAAGCATGTTTCACTAATACCTTTAAAAAAACTAAATAAATAATAAAAAATATATCATATATTTACATATATATTTTTTAAAAATAATATACATATAAATTATCTATATATAAATATATATATATATATATATATATACATTAAAAGTACATATAATTATAAAAATTTAGTTTTTGAAATATTATGGTTTTGGTTGGTGGAATATTTTATAATTTTTTATGAATGTAAATATGTATATATATATTTATATATACATCCACAATCATTTACCAAAATGTTCTTTAATAACCATAGTTTCTTAAGACATTTTTCAATCTCAGTTATTGTAATCCATTTCAATAAAGTAAATTACTATTTATATTTTTATTACTATATATATATATATATATATATATATATATATAATACAAACATTTTGTTAAAAATGTATGCTAAATATCAATTTTATGAACACACTATAAACTTTATTATTAAAAGAAATAATTGAATTAATATATTTTGTATAAATTTACTTTAAAATATATATACGGTGTTCAAATATTTAAACCTATTTTTACTTAAATATTTATTTTGATACTTCCAAAAAAAAGAACCTTAAAGAACTAAATTTTCATATATATATATATATATATATATATATTTGTATATATATTTTTGATTTTTTTGATTTTTAATGATTAATTTATAATCCAATTTAATAAATTTTCATACTTTAAGATATGTTTCACTTTAACTTAGTAATACAAAAAAAGCATACCATTAAAAAAAATTAAAATAACATAAAATTGTTTGATGATAATACAACAACAACTACAAAAAATAAAAAAATAAATTGAAAATTGAAAACAACTTAATTACAAAAAATAAGGACATATATCTTCTACATTAAAGTAGCAACTTAAAATTCTTCATGTTTTTAATTTTTTTATATATATAAAGAATTATAATTAGTATTAAAAGTGTCAAGTTTTTGATATTAAGCTATCAATTTAGCATCTTCTTTGTTAAAACATTGCCAAAATTGAAATCCAAGCAAAGGGCTTAAATATTCTCCATGTCATATCCTTCAAGTAAACCCCTTCTTGACTTTATACATTCGTACATACACACATACATGAATATATGTGTATGCACATGCAGTTTGTTACAATAACTTATGTTTACCAATCTTCTCCTTCCTTGTTTTTAAAATTTTAAAATTTATTTATCTTTGTATAGTTGAAAGATTATAAATACATTTTACACATTTCAGTTGCAAATCCACAGTGTCAAGAGACAATTACTGTTCTCCAAAATATACTATTCTCATTTCTTCCAACTTAAAAGAAAAATACAGACTCTCCAATTGATTCAAAATAGTACCATGAGAAGGGAAGCACTCCAAATTAATAAAATGAGAAAGGTAGAAAAGTACTTATAAAAACAATTCAACCTGGGCATTAAACTGGTCCGCGGAGTCTGTTTTATCAAAGCCAGATATGCCTGCCTGGCTTGCAACGAATGAAGAGTGGACCGCTCAATAAATACACTTACGGTTTCCCCTTCATCCACGGAAACTTACACTCCAGCCAGCCACACGTCACCGAAGCAGAGCCCAGTGATATACCGTGCACCCCATCCCCGCCTGCGATCCACATCACTGACGAACAGATACAGTCATCCATAAGTTGATGTTTCGCGTCCTCGGGCTTCTCCGAATGCGGCACTTGTAGCCATTCTCAACGCAATTGCCAGCGAGCCTGCTCCACATTCACCGAAGGCCCATTTGCCTTTGAGTCTCCGGCCGGTTACTTGCAGATGCTGTCTCCCTTTCTCTCTCTCGAGTTTTGGCTGCATCGTTTGGTTTGCCCCTCTCCGGCTGTTTCTGGTGCTCGCGTTTTGTTGCAATAAGAAACATTGGGAGAGGTCGAAGAAGCACGGCGTGAGCAGAGTGTGGGAGAGTGCAGTAGGTTAGGGTTACAGGTAGAAGAAGGCTATCGCGGCAGGTTGTCGGGACTCTTTGATCGGCATTTGACAGGAGGCTCTGCGTTTGTCCCGGCGATGTAGAATGGTGGAGCTGGGGGACAATATCGTCCCGGGACGGACATGTGGCGCGCAAGAGTGCTCCATATGATTTAAGCGTGAGGAAGATTGAGTCGTTGGGATCCCAGCGCGAGGGTTTCTTAGGTGCCACATGAGATTGGGGAGAGCTGTGTACGCATAATTGAGTTGCGCATAGTGTGCAGGGTCGCTGATACCCACGGCGGTGGCTTTTGTTGCGTCGAATTGAGGTTTGGAGCATCCAGGTTGCAAAGCTTGGAATACAAGTTGTCGGGTTGGGTGTGAGGGACATGTGGAACGAGGAGGTGGTTAGGGTTACGGATTAGAGGATTAGTAGTGGTAGCGAGGTAGTACTTGGGGCTGCAGACCTGAAACTGAATTTGTGTGTGGGCAGTAATCATCCTTGAGAGGGAGCAATCGATCAGATGACGTCTCTGGGCGGCACTTATTGGTGTCACCAGTGCACCCGGACGGTGATCCCCAGAAACAGAGATGAGTTGACTTGCCCCTCTTGCAACGACGGTTTTCTGGAGGAGATCGACAACCCCGAGGGAGGTGAGAGTAATGAATTTATGGGGCTGGGTGGCATGCACGACGCGTTTGGATTCGCAGGTGGCGATGTGGATTTGGGGGAGCGCGCGGACGCACCAGGCGGGGTGTCAGCCGGATTTCGGCGGTACCAGCCGGAGTCTCGAGGGATGCCATTTCCGGGACGGAGCGGGCACCCCGCGGTGCTGCAGCTGCTGGAGGCGATGTCGGCAGTGTTGCAGCAAATTCAGCCTACACAGGGTGGGCAGGAGCCCGGTGAGGTGGACTTGGGCGGGGGTGGGATTCGGGCAAGGGGGCAAGGCGGGATTGTGGAAGATGGTACTGGGGGGTTCAATTCGATGTTGATGCTGCAAGGACAGATGCAAAATTTCCTCGGGGGCGGGGGCAACGTGGAGGTGTTTTTCGACAATGGGACGGGAATTCCTCGGAGGCTTCCTGGGAATTTCGGGGATTACTTTCTTGGCCCTGGGCTGGATCAGTTGATCCAGCAGCTGGCAGAAAATGATCCGAACCGGCATGGGGCGCCTCCGGCGTCGAAGAGCGCCGTGGAGGCGATGCCAACGATTCAGATATCTCAAGAGCATCTGGGTACGGATGCTGCGCAATGCGCGGTGTGCAAGGACGAATTCGAACTGGGAGCATCGGTTCGGCAGATGCCGTGTAGGCACATGTACCATGCGGATTGCATACTGCCGTGGTTGGCACAACACAATTCATGTCCAGTGTGTCGGTACGAGATGCCGACGGATGACCAGGAGTACAACCAGAGCCGGGCTTCGGGACAGTCGAACCCAACGCCGACAGCAAGCACCTACCCGATGACTACGAACCCGGGTATGGACGGAGGGGGTAGGGACGGAGGGGGTACGTCCGGGGGTTTCACGTTTTGGGGTTCTCAGGGGCTAGAGAGACAGCCCAGCGTGGAGACATCGAGCGGCGGCAGTCGAGACTTGGGATCTAGTGCACCTACGAGGTCTGGCAGCGGGGCTCAAGCGAGTAGCGGTTCAGCAGCGGCAGCTCCTGCGAGCGGCGGAGGCATCGCGAGGCGGATCTCTTTACATTTACCGTGGTTTCGCGCAGCGACATCTCCTGCACCAGCGCCTGCACCACCAGAGTCTTCCGGGACGGGTGGAGGTGGAAATCGAAATCAGGGTTCTGGAAACCGGAATAATGGTGGGGATGAACACATGGAGCCACACCCAGAGTTGGACTGAGGTTCACATGCTCCTGCTGATGCTGAGTTTGCCGTCAGTGATAGGAGCCTTGTAGTGTTGTTTCAGTTGTGGTGCTGGTTTCCAGCATCAAGTCATTTAAAGTGCTTATGATCGTGTTGAGGTTCGCCGTCTGTATTATTTTCTCCGCAGGATGAGTACTTGGGAGCTACTACTGCTAGATATTTTGTAATGCCGAAGGCTCGTAGAATGCTGTCACATATTATTTGAATCTGTACTGATTTGCGAAGGTAGCAGTCTCTTGCGGGAGCTGGGTAACTTCTATGCTTGAAATGAGAATGAAGTGTGAGCTGAAAGTTGTGCAGATGTAGCTGGTATGATGTAGAGGGTGGTTCTTGTCTGCTGTGTACTTGTCTTTCATTTCGTGGTGACGCAGACGTGCATGGTTGGCGAGCATCAAATTCGGCTTGATGCTATCATTTTATTTATTTATTATTTTACTCTGCGGCTCAAATTATGCATTGTGCGGGTAGTGTTCGTTCGCGCGACAGCTTAGTCATTTTGAAACCTGGAGTGGCTGTATGCGCCATAGAGGGCTTTCTGAGATTTAGCTTTTACTCTCTGATGGCAGATGCACTCCCCCTTTTTGTCTTCAGATTAGAACGTTTTAGGGTTTGCCTTGTCAGGTATTATCTTTACTTCAGCTTCTTGCTGTAGTACAGTGTAATCTTGGATCAATTTGGTAAATATAAATGACTGCTTTTGACCGTAATCGATATATTTGGAATATATGCATTCATGGTTATGTTGAATTTTGTATTTTCAATTTCCGAGAATGAGTTAGATAGTCAACTTCGTCGATTTCACAGTTTTCTGTCAGTTGATGTTCTGGATACAAATGTTATGGTCTTCCTGATTTTGTAATCCTAAGTCTTGATTATTACCTTACTCCTGGTAGTGTGGTTTTCTCATTTGTGTAGAATTTTTTTATCGTTTTTATAAGTTATTTTGCAATTCTAAAGTAGCTATCTCTGCATGTTGGAGTGGGTTGTCCATATATACAATCTTCAATTCGATACGTTTACTCAGACGGTGATTTTTTGGTCACTAAGTTTGGCTGCGCTATTACTTAACTTTTTATGATTTCTGCTCTCAGGTTTGAAGGTGAAATACTGAAACTGAATTCCACTATTTTGTACATCAACAAACAAGGGATTAGTTGAGATTTTCTTCAACTTAGTTACCAACCATATAATCAACAGCATATAACTAGGTATCAGGTCTTCTGTTTTCTTTTGTTGTGCTATAATGACTGATTGGCTAACTTTATTCTATAAAGATGGATTATTAAGTTTTGTAGGTTTTGGTATCTATTTTGTACATATAAATTATACCATTATATACATATGTGTATATATATCAAGAGAGACAGAAGCTAAAGCAACACTTCCATATTGTTAATGCATCACTTAACCTGACACTCGAAGGTGGGCACATGATTGTTGTAGACATCACTACCATTTTATCCATATTCCTCTTTCAATTCTTGGACAAATACAACAATGTTCAATTTGTATAAATATATATGTCCAATTTGTATAAATATACATTCTTTTATTCCTTATTTTCTATTATGTGAGATATTGCATTAATATTATGGGATGTTGTTTTAGCAACTTTCTTATATATATATATATATATATATATTTGTAATTTTTATATGTTAATGTAATGATAAATATTAATATAAAAAATTTTACATGTTTATATGATTAAAATCAATAGATTTTATGATTGTAATATTGGTGTTATATATATATATATATATATATATATAACAATGTTAAATAAATCCAAATTTTTATTAAATCAACTCATCTATCTTAATTATTATAATAAAATAAAATGATCTTTAGATTTATTTTTCCATTATTGGATCTACAACCAATAAAAATCAACAACATTCATCATAATTACCATATTTTTTAGTAAAGATGGGTTGATTTAATAAACGAATGGATCTATTTAATATCCTATTAAAGATTTGAATTTCAAAGAACTAAAAGATCAATAAATCCTTGTGTCACTCAAACATAACACAAAATCATTCAAAAGTGGTATAATATTAAATTAGAATGGCTAATGCCAAAGGCAAAAAGACTAAAAAATCTTGAAACAAGACTAAAGACTAGAAAGGCATTGACAATAGTGAAGTAAGCTTCACTCTTGGTTAAGTTTCTAACCTACCAATCAATTATAAACATGTATAAAGTAAAATATGCATCTATGAAGCTTTTAAGGAGCTGTGCCACAAAATAATATCAAATCTACCTATATTTATTTTTTGCTTCATATATATATATATATATATATATATATATATATATATTTTTTTATATGTGTGTGTGTGTAAAAATTTATGTTATTAAACATAAAAAATTATGATCTTTCAATTTTTTAAGTAAAAAATCAATAAATTTTATTATTATTAAAATATATTATTATTAAATATATTATCAAGAGGTGAATTTTTTGCTCTCATAATTGGATAATTTGCTTCTATTATTAGTAAAAATAATGGTATTAATAGAATTTTTTAAAACTTGTGAATCTTTTAAAAATTCACAGCAAAGACAAAAGACACAAGAAGAAGCAATCTCATGCGCACAACAAGAAGATGAAGCAAGGAAATGTAAAAGAGTGGAAAAAATTAATGAAGAAACAGAGAAACTTCTTTATGAATATCATAATGAAAGAGAAATATTAGAAGGTCATTATAATGTTAGAAATATAGATGTTTAATGTCTGCATTGCAAAGTATTATATTGGATGGATAAATAAACCATGCCATGAACAAAATTAAATCCACAATTTGATACATATTGTTTTTATGGAAAAGTTGAGCCTTTGCTTCTTAAAGTTCTTCTATTGTTAATTAGACAATTATTTAATGGACAAGATGAACAAAGTAAGGAATTTCAAAAGACTATTCAATAATATAATAATGCAAATATATTTGCATCTATTGGTACAAAAGTCAACAATTTTTTCTTGTAAGGATATGGTTCATATAGTTTTTCTATACTTAGAAAGCTTTGATATCAAATAATTATTCTTTTATCAAGATAAGGTATAGACATAAGTTATATGCAACTTTATATTTATAATCCCAATATTATATATGAAGTTAAGATGGTTTATAATACAAATTTATCAACCCAAATAATTTAGGAGCTTCAAGAATGTTTGAAAGAACAGTACATATTTTTTTCACTTTATCAACAAGCTCCTGTAACAATGTCTAAGCAAGGAAAAAAAAAGAAAAATGGAATGATATACATGTATATCTTTACTTTAGTAAAGATAGTAGCAAAAGATATTATAATCTTTTAATTTCTAATGAAGTGGCTATTGTTATGCCAAGCAATGGAACAAAGACAAAATGGATGAAAGATAAAATTATTTGATAGAGAGAGTGCATTGTAATAAATTCATGAAAGACATCTTACATATTTGTCACTTGATTATGTTATTTTTTTACCTACATAGAAAACTTGGATGGCATGACCAAATGAGACATAGAGATATGAATGGTAATAAAGATGATGGTAAAAATATGAAAATTATTTGTACTATTTTAATGGAATTTTATTCATATTTATTTTTTTATAATGTAATAAGTATTCAATTAATTTATAAGGTAGAAAGTTTCTATAAGAATTTACTTTGGATGCTTGGGCATCAACAAAGAAAAATTAATTGATATGCTTTAGTATGAATGAAGCTAAGTTGCGTTATCATATTACGTGAAGTCTTACTTGAGAATGTATTAGACACTTGGCTATAGAAGATAAATTGGAAATTGCGACAGTAAGGTCCTAATAACTTTGATAAAATCCTAAATAAATTCCAATCAAATATTAAAAATCTTAATCAAAACCTCAATCAAATCCAAAATGAGTTTTAAAAATATTAGAAACTTAAAAAAATCATAAATAAAGCTTAATAAAATATTAATAAAATATTAAAGAAATAATAAAGAAATAATAATGAAATATTAAAAATAAAATTTTAAAGTAAATCCTAAGTAAATCCTAAATTAATCCTTCTATAATTCTATATCAAATTAAAATCTTTAGAATTAATAATTCAATTGTAGATTTTGATTCAAATTTTGTATTTATTTTTGTTATTTAGTTGGAAACAAGTGCAAATTTTTTGAAGAAGATCAAATTTACCAAATAAATGATAAACCTCATAATCCTTTCAAATATTGGAAGGTCTCCTTTTCCAACCTTAATGTTGATTTTTTAATGCCAATATCTCTTCATATTCTTGTCCAATGGCTTTCAAAATTTGTATAGCTATTAGAATTCAGTTTACTACTAGTATGAAAAATATTATCTCAATCCAATTAACGGATTGCTACAAATCTTAGGAATCCTCACTAATCTTATAAACTCCAATTTTCAAGATCTCAATACTTTTAAAATTCAATATCCTTCAAATAAATCATTTGATCAAGCTTAAACTTATGGCACATATTCAACACAATTATGGGCATACAACTAATTTTTTTCACTTGTAGGATATTTATCAATCATACAATATTTTCTAAAGTATAATTTCCTTATATTTCTAAAAAATCCAAAGTCATCCCAAAACAACCTTGACTTTTTCAAAGCCAAAATAAAGTTATTATAAACTCAAATCACTCAAAATCAATGTCCAAAGATCCTTGTTTTAATTTTCTTTCAAATACTACTCTCTAATTTTTCAAAGAATCCTATAATTACCATAAATAAGTAGTTTTGTGCCTCAAGATCTGATTTCAGTTTTGGTTCATAATTCGTCCTTTTTGGATATTAATATTTGATTTTTTAATATAATTTTTGCTACAAACTATTCTTAACTCTTTTTAAAAAAAAATTATTTTAATTTATTTTAAATCTACTTTTTTTTGCTTTATTTATGGCTATATAAAATAAATATAAGTATGAATATATATATATATATATATATATATATATATACTAAAAAGTAAATTTTATACAAAAAGCTTTTACCACCTTCTTATTTTTCACTCGTATTTTGCTACTATATCTTTTAACTAAGTTCTTCTATAATAGAACCTATATTTTTATCTTTTATTATATAATTATATTATAATACAATAAAGTATAAATATATATTAAAGATTGTCAATTTTTTTTGGAGATGTGCAAAATCAAGAAGTTGACATGCAAAAACTAAAGTGGAAGATAATTCTTTCATTGTTTCATATTAGAAGTATAGAAACCTGTTTGAATTTTTTAAAGATTCTATGGCTATTACTTGATACTTTCAACATTAAGATATATTTGGCATAATGATTGGAAGTTTGTAATGGCTAAAAATTTCAAGTCCACTTCTTCTAAGACTAAGGCTCAAGAATTGTTCCAACTTAATAGCAAGAGTATTTAAGCTCAAGTATCATGCATTGATTGAAGATACTTATAAGTATCACATTTTAGAACATGCACTTACAAAAATGTATACTATTGAATTTAAAAAACTAGATCTTTTGCACATGTACTTCTTACCTTTTTTAAAAAAAATAAATAAAGTAAAAGATCTGGCTAATGTTGATAGTATCATTTATGCAAAGTTTCTTATTAAGAAAGAAGATCCATTGTTATTTGAGATAATTAATACTTGTATAGTTTATGATTCATATAGGCCTCAAAATATATAAGTTTTTATGCATAATGGATGAAACATAGTGAAAGAGAT